CATGGGAGTCCATTCGAATTTCTTGTTCACCTTCAGAACATTGAAGAATGTAAGCAGCGGTCGGTTAGCCTTGATATGAAGCGACTAAGTGCGCTATCCGCCCGTTTAGACTCATGACCTGCTTCTTGCTGGTCGGGCCTTCCATGTCGAGCAGGGCTTGAATCTTCTCGGGGTTATTTCTTTGCCCCGCTGATTAACCATAAACCCCAGGAACTTTCCCGATGACACTCCGAACGAACACTTGAGAGGGTTTAGCTTCATTCTGTAAAGTCGGAGAATGTCAAACATCTCAGCGAGACGTGCAATGTGTCCGGAAGCGACCGGGATTTGACCAGCATATCGTCCACATATACTTCCATTGTCTTCCGATTTGGTCGGAGACATTCGGTGACCAACCTCTGATATGTCGCGCCCACATTTTTGAGACCGAAAGGCCTAACTTTATAACAGTATAGCCCCGCGTCCGTAATGAAGGACGTATGCTCCTCATCCAGCCCATACATCGGGATTTGATTGTATCGAATACGTATCCATAAAGCTCGCAGCTCGTGCCCTGAGGTGGCATCAACGAGCTGGTCGATCCTCGCAGAGGGAAGCTGTCTTTCGGGCAAGCCTTGTTGAGGTCGCTGAAGTCGACGCAGGTCCGCCACTTGTCGTTCAGCTTCTTTACCAAGACCGGGTTAGCGACCCAGGTAGGATGAGTCGTCTCGAATGGACCATTTCAGAGGAGGTTTTTCACTTTCGATTTTAGTGTGGCGTACCGCTCTGGATCCATGCTCTTCTTTTTGGTGAACCAGTCTGGCCTCACTGTAATGTTAACGAATGGCAAATAATGTCGGGCTGATCCCAACCATATTTGCATGCGACCAGGTAAAACGTCAATGTTTCCTTTAAGAAGTTATCAGCTCGGAAGCAGCTGAAGGTTGGGACAGCTCCCAATCTTTAATACTCGGCTTGGCTCCTTTGGATCAACCGAAACTTCGGGCAGATCCTCAACCAGGCCACTAGGAAGGATTTGACTTGCGGATCTATGTTATCCTCCGCTGGTCCAAGGTGTGGTTCGATCCGACTGATCGCCATAGCCTAGCGAGGCACACATTGCGAAATGCCCTTCCTTTATCTACATATGTACCGCTTTATATAGCATTCGCGAGATGCGCTTTGCGATCCGCTTACCTCCCCTATCCCTGTTGGAGTGGGGAACTTCATCTTGAGGTGATAAATGGAAGTGACTGCCTTGAAGCTTCTCAACAGAGGTCGCCCAGATTCCATTAAAGGCGATAGGCAGTCCACGACAGAAATTCGGTACCCTAGTCACCTCGTCGTAGTCGCCGAGCGGGACTGGTAGCTAGATCGTTCCTCTAGGGATCAGGTGGTCCCCTGTAAAAAGTAGAGAGGCATCGAGGCGGGGTTAGGTCGGCTCATCTAAGTTCATTCTATCGAAAGCAGTCTTGAACAGGATGTTCACAGCACTTCCGTTGTCCACAAGCATTCTGCAGACATATGAAATCCTATCAGGGGCGTGATCACAGGGATCCTGTGAGGATGGTGCAAGCAAGTGCTTCTTTTCGCAGAAGGTGATCGGCTCCTCTTTTCGAGCGCTTTTGTGGTCGCTGCGAAGTATTCATTACTCTGATCGGGTCGTGTATGCTTCGGAGCATACCTTCTTGCGCTCCTCGAGTGTTCCCCGTGAGGTGCAGACCTCCGAAAATTTATTAACGCTACTGTATCCGCTGCGATCACGAAGCTTTTTCTTTTGATCCCTTGGCTCTCCTTTGGGGGGTCATCAATATACTCCTTGAAGTGCCCCTTTTTAAGAGCTCTTCGATTGCCTGCTTTAGGGCTCGGCATTCATCAGTGTGATGCGTTATCCCGATGGTAACGACAGTATTTTTTGCTGTTCTGACCGTAGCAGGAGTTTTCATTGGTTGGCACCGAGCAGGCTGGCCTCCTGGATTTGTTAAAGATCGCAGATATGGACACGTTCAGTGGAGTGTATGAGGTCTGTCCCTGTGCGAGAGGAACAGGAGCATAGGACTTTTTGTGCTCGTAGCGGGGTTTCTTCCTTTTCGCTGATCATCAATGTCTCTTTTGCGGTCAGCTCTCCTACTCTCCCCTGACCAGACATACCGCTCGAAGCGCCTTGATCGCGGCGGCGGAGTGCTGCCAACGAATTTTCTATTGAGATACTTTTCTGCAAGATTGTAAAATCTGGTGAGAGAACATCGTCCTTAGCCGCAGTTCTTTCCACAGGTCGGTTTACGGACGAACTCCAGCCATTATAAGTGTTCGGATGGACTCTTCTGGAGCGTGAGCCACTTGTTCAGCTCCTATGGAAACGGTCGATGTAGGATTGCAGGGATTCGTCTCTTTCTTGCTTATGTTGCTGGGATAGCTCAAAGGCATCGAAATTTCTGATTAGCTTGGAAATGCCGTAAGAACGTCGTGCTCATCTGAGGCCACGAACTGATTGATCCCGTTAGGAGCGACCTTAACCAACGCTTGGCGTGAGAAGTGAGCGTCACAGCCAAACAGCAGCATTTTGCAAGGTCCGAAAACTGGTAGAGCTCCATGATCGTTGAACTCGTACAAATGATCCTGCGGGTCATGGTTCCCATCAAATGGTCGCATGTCGGGCATTCTGAACCCTGGTGGGAGTGGAGCAACTAGCACTTCGGGAGAGAATGGGGATGCAAGAGGCGACCTGGGCCTGTTGTTTTGCTGCTCCCTTAACCTATCCAGAGCTCGTGTAGTCCTCAATTTGCAGTAACGGGCCCAATTGGGGGTTGCTTTCACCATGCGAGTCCGGCCTTTGCGATTACGGTTCAGGGAAGTCCGGAGGTCAGATTCCTCCTCCCTTGGCCGGCATTTCGGCCGCACTCGACACACGTGGCTAGAGGCATGTGAAGGCGATGATTGCGCGAAGCGTTTCATGACCCTCGCGGTGGTACGAACCGCCCGCGAGGTGTGGGGGCACCGCAACGATCGGGATCATTCGTTGGCGGGGATAGAATTATCACGCCTGGCATTTTTGCTTGGGTTCGCCTGCAACGTGGCATGGGATAGCTCGGGATTTACTTTGCTCGAGTTAACTTCGCCGGCACCCTGTCGCGGGCGCGATTTGCGCTCGCTGGTCCGTGGAGCCTATAGGTTACCTTTTGCCACCTGCTTTCCCTTACGTCTACGCGCTGCAGTGCTCACGGCACGGGCTACTGCCCTTTGCGCGCTTCACGTGACCTGCAGGCGTCTTTGGTGGTTGCACCGCCCCAGCTGTTGTAGATGACATGCCTTGGTCCAAACGATCCAATCTCTGGTTGACCGTCTGGAGATATTGTCAAACCTCTCCAGGTAGTTCTATGGCGGGGTCGAGTTGCGAAGCTACCGGGATATCCCCCGCGACATTTTGAGGAACTGGAAGTACCCTGGAGAGGGTATCCCCTTAGGTCAAGGGGACTCCTTCAGCGCGCTGATTAGCTTGCTCAGATCTGTTGGCAGGCATTTGTTGTTGTAGGACCAGTAGGTCGAAGATTCTCCGATGAAGGGTAAACGCTAAATCAGGCCTTTCTAGCACCAAACTGTTGATGCGTGGATTTTGGGCACCAACTAATTGACACGTGTGGAGCGTTGATTGGACAAGGACACACAGTGAATAGGAATTATCAAATGGAATGAATGCAGAGAGTTTTTAAAGTGGTTCGGATGCTAAGGTAGCAAATCCTACATCACTGATGTTTAATATGGTAGGTCAGGTCGTTAAAGGGACTGACTTACAGATGATTGAAAAGTAATACAAAGCCTTTTTTGGAGAGAGAGAAAGTTCTAATGTCAAATGATCGAATCCCTTAATGAAGGGGTCTTCCTCTTTTATACCAGCTGAATGGTGTAATCATCATTAAACTTGGGTTGGTGTGAATGTCAGAACATAATCAGGCTTTACGTCCCATTACTCATTTCCCAAGCTGATTTTACGCGATTGGAGCAGGTAAGCAGACACGTGGAGCTCCAGGGTGCTTGACAGGCTTGACGTGCGCTTACCATTCTGAGGGAGTAGGCCACGTTTCGTCACGTGGCTCCACATCAACCTTTATTTCCCAGGCATAACACTGTAGAACAAGGACGATATTTTCTCAATTAAATATTCTAAATCATATGATTTCTGTTGTGATAATAAGTCGATCATATGCTAAATGGCTTTAATTAATGATTTAAAGTTATTAAGCAATTAATATACCACCAATCATATCCTAGCTGCCTTATCAAGAGATTGTTAAGTTCACTAGTTGAGGCCAATCCTTTTGAAGAACCCCAAGAGTCCACCAATTTCAACCCATATACGACCACCTTCCGTTAACAACAGACACACCAGCTTTGCAGGAAAGAGATTGAAAGTAATATTTCAAATTTATGCACTTTTGTTCTTTTTCATTCCTCTCTTATATTATGTCAGATTAAATTTTATTTTACTGTAACTAGCAGTAAGTGTATTGAATTAGTTTGACCGATGTCATTTTGTATTTGTAATTGTCAGCAGTTTGCCGTCAAAGCTTGGCGGAACAATCCCGATTTAAATGGAAAAGTTGAATGAAAAACCGCCAGACTTTGTAGTTTGTACCATTACGTTGACTTAGTCTTAGACTTCTTCAGATTTGCAATAATAATTTTTAAGACTTTATGTTGCAATTTGTAGTTCATTCCTGACCCGTTCAGATTTGCATCCAAATTATATGTATATACAAAACAAACAGTTTTTTTGTGAAATCTCACGGGATATATAAAATTGGTCATTTGATGTGATGTAATGTCTAATTAATTTTGTAATGTTAATGGTCAAAATCTGCAAAGATTCAGATTGCACGAGGAATTATAATAATAATTGGCATCTCTTCACGTGTATTACTATTGCTCTAATTTGGATGAGAAATTATGAATAACAGATTTTGAATAAGTCTGCTTTCTCTCTGTTCGCAAATTGTTTTAAATCAGCTTTTTAAATGATTGCATAACTAATATCCATTGTGAATAAACTAGCATAAGGAATCAATCAAGCTATACGCAGGAATTTTTCGAATTCCAGCCTCTACCATTGCTTTCCTTAGATCAGCAGCATGACTCCATCTCTCAACCCCAGCATGAATGTTGGATAACACCACATATCGCCCACAATGTTGTGGCTGTAATTCAAGCAGCCTTTCCCCGATTTCATGCCCCAACTCAACAGCCCCATGAATCTTACAAGCCCCTAAAAGAGCTCCCAAAACTGAAGCATCAGCCTGAATAGGCATATTTTTTATAAATTCAGTGGCTTCACTCAAAAGCCCAGCTCTTCCTAACATATCAATCACACACCCATAGTGTTCCATTACTGGTTTAACACCAAACACACTAGACATTGAGTGAAACAATTCCAAACCCAACTCCACAAATTTAGCACGTGCACAAGCTGTAAGAACAGCAACAAAAGTAACCTCATTAGCACAAAACCCTTGTTGTTTCATCTCTTCAAACATGTCCAAAGCCTTCCTCTCTCTACCATTACTTGCTAGGGAATAAATTATTGCATTCCAAGTACAAACTTCTTTGTACACCATTAAATTAAAAACCCTTCTCGAGTGGCCCAAACAACCCGCCTTTCCGTAGAAATCAATCAACGCCGTCCCCATAAAAGCACTTAATAAAGTTTCATTCCTCACAATATATCCATGAACTTGCTTCCCTAAATGAAGACCAAGACCAACTCCCCCAACTAAACCAGCGCATGATGAAAGTACACTAACATAAGTAGCCTCATTTGATTTCACTAAATCTCCATTCACAATCATATTCTCAAAAAACCTAATTGCTTCCACAAAACAACCGTTCCTCGTAAACCCATTAATAACACTAGTCCAAGAAACGACATCTCTGTCTAACATGCTCTTAAACAGCAAAACAGCAGAACCCATGTCGCCATTTTTCGCATAAGCATCAATCATTGCATTACAAGCAACAATGCAAGGATTTGTAATTTCTTCGAACATTAAACGTGCATCACATACATAATTGGCTTCACCGTACAACGTTAGCAAGGATGTTTTGACAAATGGGTCAGATAAAACGCCGCGTTTAAGGGCTTGGGAGTGGAGAGTGAGGGAAGATAAAGAGGGTGGTAAAGAAGAGGCGATTGTGGCTTTGATCAATGAAGGGAAGGTGTAGGAGTTGGGGAGGGCTTGGTGGGCAAGCATGTGAGTGAAAACAAGGAGGGAGTTGTGAGGTTGGTTGATGTTGAGGTAGGCTCTTATTAGAGTGTTGTAGAGAAGAGTGGCTTTGAATGTTTTGGAGTTTGGGGGGGTGGTAATTAGAAGGGAATGAATTTGTTTAATTTGGTTTGGGTTTTTGATGAAGCATTGGAGAAGTTGGAGTAAAAATTCAGGGGAATATGGCATAACAACTTACTATTTCATTTCTTTGGAACTTCAAGAATCATACAAGTTGGACTCATTTATGAAGCAAAGAAGTTGGTCATTATTCATTAGTATTTAGTAAACCAAAAGAGTAAACGACTTTTTCCCACCAAAGGTTTGGCCTAAGGACACTTTCCCATCTAAAAAGTTTTAAAATACAGCTTTACCACACATGTTAAGATTCATCCATTAAGTTTAACTGGAGAAGGACATAAAAGTAAATTCAAAAAATAATTCAGGGGTCATTTCATCCCTTACATAAAAACCCTAAGTCCTCTCAAATGCTACCATGCCACCGTCGCCCCCATATAAAAACCCTAAATCCTTTCAATTGCTAAAATGCTGATACCAGCCGATTCAAACCAATTTCAGCTAGTTTTCTCACCAAAACTTACAAAAATCTTCACTTCTTCATCCTTTTAGCCTTATTCTAGCCTAATTGTCCAAGATTTGGCTGGAATTAAGACATTTTCCATGGAAAAAACCCAACCCTTCGCACTTCCGATCCAAGCCAAATCGGCCTGTTTCTGGTGTCGTCGACGTCCCTCGACTCCACCAAAATACTCCCCTCACCTCCCTTATCAAAACCCCTACCACTCCACACTTGGTTAGTGAATGAGAAAGAAGAAAAGAGAAGAATAAGAGAGAAATTTCTATCTTTACACCGTTTATATTATGTGATATAACAGATTTTCCTAATGGAACATAACGGTGGGTGGGAAAATGGTCGTTTTGAAAATTGATAGGTTGGAAAAAGTGGCATTTTGAAACTTGATGGATGAAAAAGTGTCGTTAGACCAAATCTTGGGTGAGAAAAAGTCATTTACTCAACCAAAAAGTGTCAAATGTTGTGGATCGGACTAATCCATGAGTGCAAACTGAATTTAGTTGCGGGCTGTGTTTAGGAATAGTCCACTTGGCCCAAAATCTAATGCGTCCCTCTTCGTCTTCACATATAAAGCCTTTATCATGTCAATCTTGTGGAAAATAATAATGTTTAGCTCCCACCCCCCTATTTTAAAATTTATTTTTTATTTTGAAAAATTTAATCTTAACTTAAATTATTCGAAATAATATCATAATTTCTAAATACACTCATACTTTATTTTATACATTTTTTTTTTTTTAACTTTTAACATTGAATCTTATAGAAACCCTAAACTTAAATTTTAATAACATAATCTTAAATGTTCATAATCATTGAAACATTTTGTTTTATTTTAATTATTTGTTTGTTAGATGAAGATATTATACTTAAATTATGAAAACATAACTGAATGAATTTGAAGAAAAAAAAAGGTTGAAATTAGAAAATTAGGGAGAAAAAAAGTTTAAAGAAAAAACATAATTAAGCGTGATTTGAGAAAAATGGTGTAAATTAGGGAAAATAAACCTCATTCAACTTAGAGGGTTATTTTTTATATTAAGTAAAGTTTAAAGAGATTCTTTTTTAATTATAGAAGATGTGTAATTTAGCAATAAGAAATAAAGAACAATTAAATGAGGGTTAAAAATAACTTGCTTTTAAATGTGAGTATGTACTTAAAAAGCGCACTTCCAATGTTGTACAACTTAAAGATAGCATAATGACTTAATTGTATACTGTATATACACATTTGTTTGATGTTACTACCCACCTATTCTATATTTTTATCCAAGAAAAGCGAGAATAATCCTAAACTTGGTAGCTGCCGAAGCGACAACGTTTTTGTGTCGAGTAGGAGTAGCCTATATCTATCATTACCCGACGCTCATATAAATATCGATTTTGAGTCAGATTGCAGCGAAGAATGTTAGCAACGGCTTCCAGAATCTTCAGCAAAACTCCTCTCTTTAAACCCTCACTCGCTCGCACGCTCTCTCCTTCCACTTGCCGTTTTACCGTCCGGTCAATGGCTGATTCTGCAGCTTCTCCCTTCAAGAAAGTCCAGATTCAGAGAGACGATACTGTGAGTATCATTTCACAAATGGCTATCATTTCTCTTCTTTGAACTTCTGATTATTATTATTATTATTTTAACCAAAAATTCGAACTTCCATTTATAGTAATAGTAATGACTGATAAAGCATCTTTTTTGACATGAATGGAATAGACATTTGATGCATATGTGGTTGGGAAAGAAGATGGTCCTGGGATTGTTGTGATTCAAGAGTGGTGGGGTGTTGACTATGAGATCAAGAATCATGCTGTCAAAATCTCCCAACTCAATCCTGGATTTAAGGCACTAATCCCTGAGTAACTATCTCTCATCTTTTCATTTTTTTTTTTTTTTTTAATTTTACCCTTTTTCAATGCCGTATCAGTTGCCACATTGGTGTTCTTAAAATATAATTTTTTTTCTTTTTATTTTGGTTTCAGTTTGTATAGAGGAAAAGTTGGTTTGGATGTTGCGGAAGCACAACACTTGATGGACGGTCTTGACTGGCAAGGGGCTGTCAAGGATATCGGTGCTTCAGTTAATTGGCTTAAGGCAAATGGTTCTAAGAAGGTTCTGACACTCCACTTGTTTCTGTTAGTAGTGTAATGTCTTGTGGTTGCGTCCTGATGCATGCCTAATATTTGTATTTCTGTATTGCATTTAAAAAAGAATTTTAAGAGTTCATATGCATTAGTAGGTGCCTGTGATTTATTCTGCAAAACATTTGGGAGGGAATGTGTTATTCCTTGGAACTTTTGTTTAGTTTGACACTTACATCTTTAACATGATGGTTTAGAAGGACTTGATTACCTGAGTGGTGCATAAATGTACCTGTTTAGTCTCATTTTCTGTTCTACGAATGAATTATGATAACTTTATGATTATGTAGAGCCATCTCCTGAACCTGTTTATGCAAAGTCGCTTCTGCTTGTGTTTGTAGATTATATGGTTTAGTCAATCACATAACTTAAAATGGTTTCAGCTGCCCTTATTTTGACACATATTCTAACTAGTGTCAGCTTCCCTCTGCCACACAGGTCAAAGCAATATATACCTCCCCTGTTGATGCAGAAAACATATACAATATAGCTAAATGCATCCCTCCTTCTAGCCACCTAACTAAAAAATATCAGCTACCTAAGATCTGCCTTAATGATGCAGTTTTAGTCTTGGATCCTGCTCCACTTCTCCCAGCCCAAGCCTTAGCTTTAATTATCTCTCTTGGGAATGGTTGCACATCTTAAGACAACTTTAAATTCATTTCCATCATACCTGTGGATGTATGATTCTCCCCCTTAGGCTATTCTTTTCATCATTTCATGACTCATGAGGTGTGTTTAGCCTAAAAATATCTGCAATGAGTAGCACATCAAGCTATTCTCTAGACCAGTAAAGGATGAATTCATGTCATAGAGTCCATTCCCCAAACCTTGACTTCGAAATCTTGTTTGATATATGCCATGTCTCCTTTATCTGATACATAGCATCTTAGAAGTATTACATGAAAGGAACACATATATTGATGGTGATAGAAACTATGCATTTATTGAGAGTTTGTTTATGTTTCATCGCATTTATGATCAATTACTGACATGCTTTCTAAATCTACTTTTCAGTTTATAAAGCTGAAGATTTTAGATATGCTGGATTTAATTTTTTATGTTGCTTTCATTTGGTAACAAACTTGTGGCATTACAATAGGTTGGCGTGACTGGATATTGCATGGGAGGTGCTCTCTCTATTGCAAGTTCGGTTTTGATTCCTGAGGTTGATGCTGTTGTTGCGTTTTATGGAGTTCCTTCATCAGAGCTCGCGGATCCTGCCAAGGCTAAGGCACCTGTTCAGGCTCATTTTGGGGAGCTTGACAATTTTGTTGGCTTTTCAGATGTGACGGTAAGGAATTCCTTTTCAACTCTCAGTTTTTACTAATATTTTTTACTTTTATTAAATCTTGAAGTCACTTCCATGTCCTTGGATAAGTTGCAAGAATGATGTCCATGACCAGTTTATATATTTGTTTGCATTTATGGAGTGCATGGATGGTTTGTTATGTGAGGTTTGGTATGATACTGCACTGTTGCAAACATCAGTTATGGCGTTTATTTTATTTTTTGAGGAGCTCTAAAATTCCCCTTACTTCATCCTTCTCTCTCTTTCTCTGCCTCCTCTTCTCCTTTTTCTCTCCCCTTTGTCTTTCCCTCTATCCTTGCCTTGTCTACCACAAAAACAGAGATAGGGGGAGAGATGGACAGTAGAGAGGCTTTACCATGTTAGCCAGTATTTAGCCTCTTGGTCCTACAATTTCATGTTACACAGTCATTAGTTTAACTTCTTGGTCAGATGAACTTCTAATATTTGGTCAAATCACTCAAAATAGAAAAATCACAAACTTATCATAGAACTTGAAAGATCACATTGGATCTCTTGAAATTAAAAGACTAATTTCAACCATGAAATTTGGCCCTATAATATACCCTTGAATTTGTGAAGATTTTGAATATAGAAAATAGTGACTCCTTATAATGTGAAAGCCACTTTAGAACTTGCTACTAAAATTCAATAAGAGATTGCTTTTCTTTTTCCGCTCTTACTTTGTGTCTGTCTCCTTTCTCGTTAATTTTTTTCCCTATGCCTAGTGGTAATGTGATGCCTTGCTAAACTAAGGTAGTAGGCCATTTCGTATCATAGAGGAGTCTAAATTTGTTTAATTGGTTCTATTGCAGTTGTAATGCTACTTTTAACTAAAGCTATTTACTAGTTCAGAATTTTGTTGTCAACAGAGATAGCCTTTAATGACCTTCATGGATTGGCTGCCATGCAATATGTTAAATTAATTCAAACTCTACTGTTCTTTCTATAAGTACCTTCTTCTTGCTAGATAACCTGATTTTAAGTTTGATCATGTGGTGTCTGTAATGGTTTATTCTATTTTCACCCATACAAATGAATGTAATATAACCGAGAGCATCAGAAAATTAAGAGAATTAGTGACTATTCAGAGAACTATAGAATGACATTCTGAGGAATTGATTTATATTGATTAAGTTCTGTCATTATCCCAAATAAACACTTCACTGAATTCTTTTTATCACTTTAGTGACCAGATGCCTGGGTAATATCTGTTTGTTTCCTATGTTCCTGCTGCAACGTTGAAGTTGAAACTCTATAGAAATTTCTAATTATTCTTTCTTTTGAGTTTCAGGCTGCAAAAGCCTTGGAGGAAAAGCTGAAACTCTCTGGTGTTCCATATGAGGTTCACATCTATCCTGGCAATGCACATGCTTTCATGAATAGGTCACCAGAAGGAGTGCAGAGGAGGAAGAGTATGGGAATGCCTGATGAGGATGATGCTGCAGTCGAGCTGGCTTGGTCACGCTTCCAATCATGGATGACTCACTACTTATCTTAAATAATTTGCTAGTTGGATACATTTCTAATACTCAGCTTGCATGATTTGTTAAAAATTAGCCTGGTGTATTGCCTAGACATGTTAGAAGGCTGGGAAGTATGCTTCCCTTCTTTTCCAAAAAAATCCTTATTCCTAAGGTTGTGTGTGGGTGACTTTGGAGATTTCACTAGCTGTAATATCTGAAATGGGTTTGGCTGACTGCTTGTAAATATTTATGATGTGGCTTTCATGTTTAAATAAAGGTATCCCATCTTTTTCTTTAGGTTGGACAATTAGGTGGGCACGTAGCTTTATCTTGTTTTCTAGAATGGGGTTGTATTTATATGCTGATGGTTTTTTGGTTTGATTGAAGTAAAAACTTAAAAAAGAAGTTGTGTGAACAGGGCCTTGGGCATCTTTGGACTTTGATAAAACAAACTTTGACGGATATATGTTCCTTCAGTGGACCTACAATTTGCAATCAAGTCTTGTACAGCTGACTATTATGGACTTGGGACACGTATTAAATTTTGGAAGGTTTCGAGATTTGACAATGGGAGAGCATTGGGGAAGATTTTGTTTCACTGTCTCGGGCCTGCTTGATGTTTGATGAAGACTGTTTAACAACGACTTTTTTTCGGTTCAGCATCAATGGCCGTTTGGGCTTGGATCCTGTTTTAAAAAATTGTGATTCAAGTAGGGATGGCCCTCTCCTTTCACATATTTTCAGCTCTCGCGGCCTGCCTTGAATGAGAATTTCTTTCTATTCAACCTTTTCGATCATTGCTAAATCTACAGCTTTATGCATGAAGACAACATGGTGACATAGTTGAGAAATTGCTTGGAAGTTACAGATCAAATTTGTTAAATTGACGTGTGGGGGAAATTCTATATTATAATGACATAAGAGTCTATCGAAAGCGTGTCAAAATCTTTCTTCTGGATGTATCTCTATCCTTTGGAACGCTGCTTGGACATTTTTCCCTTTCATATTACACGCGAGAATACTGCAAATACTTTTCCATTTGTGGTTTGAAATTGGCGCCCTCTGTAATTCTTCAAATTGCACTTGTACATTGCTATTTTGATTGTCGTCTTCTGTGAGATGGAATCTTGTTGACTGTTAAGCAATGCATCAAGTTCTACACTCGTAATCTAATTTGAACCCCAGACACAAACTCCATCTGATTCTTGAATTGCATATGAATCTAGAAGATTTACTGAATCATGACTAATCCGGGTTCTTAAACATAGTAAAAGTAAAACTTGAGGGAATCTCAGGGGTATTTACAGGGAAAGCAAGTGATAATTAAAAAAATCTCAAATAATTAAAAAAATCTCAAAAAACTGGGGCTGTTTGTAATTATTATCAATTATTAGTAGCACTCGTAATTAAAGCAACAAATGCAATGGCATGCCCATCGAAAAGACGTAAACGTGAAGTGTGGTAAATCCCAACTGGCCAACTTGATTTTGTTGGGTCTTCATTCATGAAGCCGCCATTGCAAACTGGAAACTGCATGCATGTATCATGGTCATTGTAGCCAACTGGAGCAGGCGTTTTCTTTTGAAAAAGAATATGTGTTTGAATCAAGGGGCAGTGTTAACGAATAAAGATAACACTAATTACTGCATGTTAGGTTAACTAATACACGTGATGACTTGATTGACTACAGTACTTTTGTAGTTTGCGGTTCAACTTCTTCTCACATATTCAAATCAAAATCAAATGGACCACAGATGGGCACGGCTTCAAGCTTTTCAACGCTCTACTTATCTTCACTAATTTCACATGCTCCTTTTCAGTTCTCCGTTGGATCGCTAGGTTACATTGGTTTGGTTGTTGAATGTGAACTCAGTATTTTATATATAATATTATTCTCTTCTTCAGTTTGGTTTCACATTTCAATTTCTAGGCTTTAAATCTTAATATAGTTGTCAAGTACCATCAGTTGTTATTATCAAACAAAGACGTTAACATGACAATATCCAACCTCAATAATGAGATCAAACTACTCTAAACTCAAATGATATTTTCTGTGAATTTTAATGAGAGGTTGCCAGATGAGAATCATAAAATATATATGAAAATGTTTTATGCTATAAGATTATAATACTTTATACTAATGTATATACCGATAACTAGTTATTGGTCTACAATTTAAAAGAAGGGGAGATGTCCTTGTATGTTTGTATAAGAAAACTGATGAGATGAGGGCAATGGAGTGATGCATGAACATGCATGCTTGCGTTGAAATATAATAAACAAAGAAAAAACACATGCTACCAGAAAGAGAAAGTAGAAGTAGCTGCTTTTAATTGTCTGTGTTTGGTGTAGACTTTTGTGTGTGCATGACAATCTGTTCCTTATTATTTTAATCACCATTAATTAGTAGAGCTTAAAGAACCAAATAAGGTGGGAATCCCAGGTTTTCAATTCAATTAATTAATGGTTCTTCTAACATAGTTTAATTTAGATTATTTATCTCTTTTTGTGTTAAGCTAAGGCTAGGCTACTTCTCTGCCTGCTTCTTCATGATCATTATCTGTCTGCTGAGATCCAAAATCTTCTCTGAAATCAGTGAGCAAATTTATAACGATTTGTGGAACTCAATGTGTTTTGATTTCAGTGCTATAGATTACTCAAGGACTCACCAATTAATTCTTAAATATATTATATAATACACCTTTCCCATCAAATATATACATATATTTAACAAATCATGATCAAACTTGAACATTAAATTTGGACTACGCACCCATACAATTGCCTTTCATACATCATGTTTCTGGAAAACGTAAGTGCAGACTCCTGGCATGCATATCAATTGTAGGCTAAGAGTGTGTGTGTGTGTATATATATATATAGATCATAATAAACAGAAAAGAAATTAAATATATAGTTTCATGGATTTGTGGCTGCATTATAATAACTTATATATAAAATTAATATTATGTTCCACGAAACCTGCAAGTATNGCTTTTTCCAGTCGTTCAATGGCCCCTCCCTACAGTTCTTTTGAATTTCAAATAGTATTTAAGATCCTTAGTTTTCGATTATCTAATAAATCACTTAATGAAAGTAGATTATCGTTCCAGCTATTCAGAAATTGAATGACATTTAACTTTAACAAGTTGTTAAGAAATTGGAAATATATGGTTTACAAGCTTTTTGAACTGTGAATGGCATAGACGCATAGTTGTAGCAATGTAGCATAAATGATAATTATATTTTGTTGCTTTGAAATCCATGAGTATGTTCCAATTTTTACCAAGAAATTGTTATTCACCATATTCAATTATTCATATCAATTTGCTTTTTAAATCTTAATTTAAATTTTACAAGAAATTATTAGACTTTATATTTTCTTACCTTAAATTTTGCATTTTTAATAAATTAAGTTAATTAACTACTGAAATTAAACAGTCAAATTGTTAAATATAATACTTATCAACGTACTAGTTTTTCACAATTAAAATAATTAATTTTACGGAAAGTTTTGATTTATACGGGACAAAAATCCCCATTCGGGGGATAAATTCCCCGCGAAGCCCCGGTTATCGGGATGGGGATGGTCATGATTTTGTCCCCGCAGGCCAGGGATGGTCATGAGAAAAATCCCTGCTCGCGGGGATGGTCTTCGAAGAGGGTAACGGGGACGGGCCCGGGCCCGGGGCATGGGGTCCCCGACCCGGCCCACGCCCATCTCTAAAGGCGATGGACTACTTGTAAAATTCACACTTTTACATATTCTTTTTTACTCTCTCAAGTTGTGGGTAGAAAATTGATGTAGAAGTTGCTTAAATTCCACAAGTTTTAACACTAATTCAAGTTAAGTGACGCTCCTACCTTTAATAATGCATCCCCCACCTTTAATTTTAACATAAGAAATTAAGTTCAATAGACATGTAACACCATTAATTAATTAATTTTAATATCTTTGGGTATTTATATGGCAAAGTCACTAAGATTATCAACTCTCTCTAGTGACCAAAAAGATCTGAATTAATTGAATCACGTTTTAGTGGTGGAATTTATTATTATTAATCTAACTTTAACACTTTTTATGGTGACATATCTTGTCAATTAAAATGTTCATGGTGGTTTTTTTGTTGTGTATCTTGGACTATACACGCCTTTTCTTTTGTCGGCCCTCCCCTCTCTCAACAATCTAGTAGTTAGTAGTTGCTTTTAATTCTTTCCTTTCTCCATACTGTTTATATTTCTTCACCTCCAACTCTAATTATTTTTATTTTTCACTAAAATTCATTAATCTTATGATCAATTAATTAACTACAATTATCTTTGCATGATTTAGAGAAGTAATTCAAATTGTGTTAGTCACGAGAATTTTGATGAATTGTGTTAGTTTAAATTTTCAGCACAAAAAATCCCAAATAAAAACCCTCTTCCCCAATATGTATTACACTAAAATCAGCAGTAGATACAGGAGATCATTATTGGAAAACAGTAACTCAGTTTTGATCAATAACGCTTTAGATGCTAACATTTGCATTAAAATGACTTAATGAGCGTTGAAAGTGAATGTTTCTATTGATAAAATGTGGCTAACCAAGCTGTCGATGGATTCACTTGAAGAACCACCCTGCCTCAAGCAAATATTTGCCTTCTCCTTTAAGCACAAAATTCTGCCTCTGATTTCTTCTCCTTCTTTATCCACCATTAGTCTTCTAATTGTCCTCTCAATCTTTTCTCTATCAAGACCATTCTCCAGTTGCACCCCAACTTTCCAAACATCACTTACATATCTTGCATTGACACTTTGGTCAGTGAAACAAGGCATACAAATCATAGGAACACCTTCACAAATGCTCTCCAATGTTGAATTCCACCCATTATGAGTCCAAAATGCTCCAACAGCAGGGTGGGCCAGCACCTCTTGTTGTGGAGCCCATTTCACAATATGTCCCCTTCCATCAATCATTTCCAGGAACCCACTTGGTAATGGTTCAAGCCACTCCGAACCATTGGTCAATCCGGGTCGAACCACCCACAAAAATGGTTGCTTGCTATTGGCTAGCCCCCAGGCTATTTCCAAAAATTCATTTTCTTTTATTGCAGCAAGACTTCCAAAGCTCACATAAATTACTGACTTGGGTGATTGTTTCTCTAGCCAAGAAATGCAGCTTTGATCTTGTGTCAACAAGCTGCTTGAAGAGGCTGGAAAACATTTGTGAAATGGGCCTATTGGAAACATAGGGACTGAAAATTGTTGGCCAAGATTTGCCAGTGCTGATTGCTCAAGATCTTGAAATGTATTCCAAATAAATCCTGAAGAGGCCCTGGCTCCATCAACCATGCCATTTATTAATTCATAAATTGTTTCTGGAGATCGCGAGTTGATCGTTGGAAGGTCTTTTACCTTGAGAGGTGGAAGCTCTACCACTGGTTCTTCTAATTTAGAATCTGATAAAAGAAACATTAACGAACAAGCACACATGAGAGCCAGTTTTGGCAATACAATCAATGAGATCACTAAATGCAGATGAAAACTGATTATTGATAAGAAAGATTTTAAAAAAAATGGAACACACACCTTGAATGGGGAGATACCCTCTTTCTCTTAGAAATGGAAAAGCGGTAAAAACAACAAAGGAGGAAGCACCACCGGTTCTTAACACCATCATGGGGAGTTTGAGATTTTCAGCAACAGCTTCAGTGAAGGAAAATATGGCATCTGAGATCAGGCAAGCAACTGGCTCCTCCTCAACATCTGACAACAACTTAGTTAAGCAATCGTGAAAAGGCTCTACACATTTTGTGTTAAGCAGTTGAACAAGAACAGCAAGATCAGTTGTGGAGGCTTCAGATTCAGATAAATTTTCAGGAATAAAATGGAAAGCGAAGTGTGGGTAGTTTGAAGGGTTCGGAGAGTTGAAGTTGGTGTGTATTATGGTTATGGAGAAGCCTTGTGAATGGAGAATGTTTGCTAGCTGTAGCATTGGATTTATGTGGCCTTGAAATGGAAAAGGAAACAGAACCAATCTGCGACCCTTTCTTTGATGCATCTCTGTGTTGGTTTGGTTCTCCATGGAGCTTTTTCTGCTTATGAATGCTAGAACTTATTAACTGTTTCTTTACTTAAAGGAAGTACTTTGATCTTTGTTTTTTAGCTAAGTTTTTCTACAGAATTGATAATTAATTCTTTGAAACGCGCAAGGTTGCTATTGGTTTGTGTGCATATGAGAAAATTGGGTTTGCCCAAGAACGGTGTGACCCTTGGATCACGAACTAAGCCTAAAGCTTCCAGTACAGCAATTGAACAGGTAGCCCAACTGTTTTATGGGCTCTGGCCCAACAGCAGTCAATTGGGTATTGGGTTCATTTTTTGACCCGACAGCCATTTTAAAAGATTAGTTTGGTAATAGTTTCCTAGTAGATGAGGGTGGAACCTGGAAAAGATTTCATTTTAGAATAATACTATACATACATCATTCCCATACAATATTTCTCATACAATATTATGTAGTAAGATGCAATTAGGTGAAAGTTTAATTTTAACTTTAAATTAGCCAATCATATCTTGCCACATAATGTTGTATGGAAAATGTTGTTTGAAAATGATGTATGTGTAGTATTACTCTTCATTTTATAACGTTGCTGATGATATTGAATCCTAACTTTACCTAAGATTATACTTTAATTACTTATTCCAATCAAGAGAAGTTTTGACTATTTTTGACGTTGTGGCCTTTGATGAACTTGTCCTTATGCACTGTTTTTGTTGATAGAGAAATATGCACCAACCAGCGAAATCCGATCAACCTTACCGTGATCGGAACTGATATGTGCGTGATTAAGAATAATCAGCAATGTATGTAAAACAAATGCAATCAAGTAAAGACAATGAGAGTTTTAAAGTGGTTCGACGAGGATAACTCTGAAGCCTACATCCACTGTTTTTGTATTTACTATGAGAGTTTACAATATAGTTCCTATGTGAAATTCGTAACCCCCTCTTCCGCATTTGAGGGGATTTATATGCAAGATTTGTATAAAGAAAAGAGCGAAATTAAGGGGATTACAATTGATTTGAATAACAATTCCGATATTCTCACGATTGAGCGTTGTGATTACGCAGTGATCGCGGTTGATCTAGTCATTCCCGTAATATCTAGATCTGAAATAATCTGGAGGTTGATTGAATGATTCCTTGAACTGTTCGCAACTAGCTTATATTGGGTCAAGCTTCGGCTTGACGAACTTATGCTGGGTCAATTAATTATTGTTACCGAGCTCATTCTAGATCGAACTATATCCTTGCGTTGGCCCGAGCTTGACGGAAAAGCCTACACATTTTGTGTCACAACTGGCTCTTCCTTAACATCTGACAACAACTTAGTTAAGCAATCGTGAAAAAGCTTTACACATTTTGTGTTAAGCAGTTGAACAAGAACAGCAAGATCAGTTGTGGAGGCTTCAGATTTAGATAAATTTTCAGGAATAAATGGAAAGCGAAGTGTGGGTAGTTTGAAGGGTTCGGAGAGTTGAAGTTGGTGTGTATTATGGTTATGGAGAAGCCTTGTGAATGGAGAACGTTTGCTAGCTGTAGCATTGGATTTATGTGGCCTTGAAATGTTAGACTTTTTATAATATGGTCCTACACTTTTCATATAATTATATTTTGGTCCTTGCTGATGTGGACTTATGTGGTCATACGGTTGTGTCTCTTGAGCAATTGTCTTTAATGGAAAGACAACTGCATATAAGAAGGAGACTTTACAGGTCCCCATGTGACAGAGTTTTTATTTTAGTTTCAAAACCATCACTCTAAAATTGCAGTCAGTGGAAGATCCTGTAATTTTTGAAGGAGCAAGAAGATTAAACAATAATTGCTATGGCTGGAGGTTTGTCATTTACTTCCGCATATATTCCATGGAGATTTTATATTGAAATTGATTGTATTATCACTTTTATATGAATATTGGAATATGAATGAATTTTACATTTGATATCAGAGCATTATTTGCCTAGCATGAAGTTGCTTGTTGCAAATCTAAAAAATATTGCATAAAATTTGGGATTTTTTTCCATTAAAACCCATACTGTAAATCAAGCATAACTTTTATTATAAATAGAATCTGTTTTTTATTTTGGTGTCATTGGAATCCTTGTTGAAAAAGCTTTCCAATGGTATATTATTTGTCAAAAACGGAGTTCTGGATGCAAAGTTATGCTAGTTTAAAGTTTTGGTTAGAAATTATTATTTGGGTATTTTTGGAAGCCATTTCCGGCACCGATTTAGGACGAAATTGTCATTTGGGATGTCACCGATATAGGTTATATGTCCACATTTAAGTTTCCCCTTTAAATGCCGAAAAAATGGTCGGAAACGAGCTGTTACAAAGTTACAGAAAACATGGGTAAAAAGTTGCAGAAACGAGTCAAGAAGAACATGTAACTAATCAAGCTCTTAGTGATTGATTGAGACCCTCCTTGCCTTAGAGAAACATCCACTTTCTCCTTAACTGCATAATTTTGTCTCTCATTTCCTGGCCTCAGCCTCCAGGATTACTTTTCTAATTGCTCCTTCTATCTCTCCTCTCTCCAGCTCTTTTTCTAAGTGCAACCCAACTCCAAACATGACAACATATCTTGCATTCACCAACTGATCACCAAACAAGGCTGGCAAATCATAGGTACCCTTCACATATACTCTCCATTGTAGAATTCCAACCATTATGTGTCCAGAATCCTCCTGTAGCGGATGAGCTAGCACTTCTTGTTGGGGAGCCCATTTCACTACATGTGCCCTTCCATCTAGCATTTCCAGGAACCCTTTTGGCAATGGTTCAAGCCATTCGAATCCGCGGACTAATCCGGCCGAACCACCCACAAAAATGGTACCCGCTATTGGCTAACCCCCAAGCTACTCCAAGAATTCAGTCTCATTAACGGCGGCAATGCTTCCAAAGCTTACATAAAGTACTGATTTAGGTGCTTGTTTGTCTAACAGGAAATTGAACTTTTGTCTTGGGATAGTAAGCTTGAAGAAGCTGGAAAATACTTGTGAAATGGGCCTATTGGGAATATTTGCATGCGAAAGTCACGTTGTAATGTTGTCAGTGCATCTTGCTCAAGTTCCTGAAAGGAGTCCATATCAATCCTGAAGAGGCCTGGTTGTTCATCGATCTTACTAAAAATTGATAAAAATTCTCTGCATCATCTGTTTCAATATAGGGATGTCTTTCATTCTTAATGATGGAACCTCTTGCACTGGTGCTTCTGCTAGAATCTGAGAGAATAAAAAAACTAGAAAATGTAAATCATAAAAACAATTAAAATCAAAGTTTGAGTAATTTATTGGAGGGAAATGATAGAAACAAATATAGTCCTAACGATGCTTCAATTTTGATTTAAATACTTCTACACATGAGAGGAATAAAAAACTGAGATTTACCTTGTATGGGAAGTAACACCTTTTCATGTAGAAGTGAAGTGGCTGCAAAAGCAAGAAAGGAAGAGATACTACTAGTTCGTAGCACTATCCACGGAAGTTTAAGGCTATCAGCTACAGGTTGGGTGAAATGGTAGACGGTATCTGTGATTAAGCAAGCAATAGACTCTTCCTAACATTTGACAGCAACTTAGCCAAGCAATCCCGAAAAGGCACCACACAATTAACATTCAGGAGTTCAATAAGAGCTATGACATCAGAGTAGAGGCTCCACCTTCCAAAGCCATCTGGGATTGAGCAGAAATCGAAGTGAGGATAGTTACAAGTGTTTGGAGAGTTGAAGTTGGTGTGGATTACGGTTAGGAAAGGCCTTTGTCATAGAGAATATTTGCAAGCTGAAGCATGGGTTTATGGACCTTGCAAAGGCAGTGGAAAGAGTACCACACGGCGTTTCTTCCTTTGTTGCATATGAGACTCTCTTTGCTTCTCCATGGAATCTTGTTCCCTAATTCCTTTTCGTTTCTCTCTTTATTTCAAGGATGGTCCCTGGCATCTTAATAAATAGTAAGAGAATGTCGGTGAGAAATGTTATGGTAATAATAATTTGATTGTACGAAACAAATGTTCTTAACAAATAAAACAGCTTGCCTAATGTAGTAATTTTTTTGATTTTGTAAAGAGCTAACCAGACTTACAGATACGACAAATTGAAGGTAGATAGCTATACTTCATGCTCAGGTCAACCAGAAGGTTGCGTGTATAATCCGAGACCACGGAAAAATTGTCTGTATCACTAAACGTAATACACATGATATGATTGATGAAGTAAACCAGAGGTTGAAGAAGTGGAGAGTGATGAAGCCAATGATGTCATAGTTTATAACCGGGCAAAATTGGTCCATTTCACTGCACAAATTCTGTCACAAGGGACAAAAGAGGTTAGTGTTGGTTTTAGCTGGGATGTAAAGGAAAGAAGAAGAAGTTGAACACAAAGGAAAATTGCTGAAGAGCTATGTGTTTACTCACACGTTTTCGTTACTTTAAAACTGCAATTATACAAAGGTTTACATCAACTATTACACCAATGTTACAGTGATTTTTATCAGGATTACAGCAGCACCACACAATTGTAACTAAACACAAAATGCAGTTAACTAAAACAGCTGACTTTAACTGCATTGTTTCAGCTCTAATCACCTACTTCTTTCAGGTTTCAATCAGCTATTATTTCCAGCTACTATTTTCGGCTCCAATTAGCTGCTCCTTTTAGCTCTTCTTTTAGCTACAATGAACTGTTCCAGCAAAATATCACTTGGCTTAACAATTAGCCAAGATTGGACAACTCGTATTCAATAGTATGCAGAGCAGAAGGCACTAGCGGTGAAAGAACTTTGAAGTTTTATTTCTGTCTCGACCATCTGTTACTACAGTAAGTTAATTTTTACAATTCATAATTTATTAGAGAATCGAAGAACAGAGATTTGAAAACGTTCTAAAAGTGTTTATGTAACTAATCAAGCTCTCTATTAATTGATAGGAGGAACTCCTGGTCTTATAAAGATCCACTTTCTCCTTTACGCACATAATTTTCTTTCTCATTTCCTGAACCTCAGACTCCAGGATTTACTCTTCTGA